GAACCGCTTGTAAATCAACATTTAAAGGCTACATAGACCTCTTCAAAACAAAGCATGAAACAAACCTCAAAATGATACCTTCAATGCCTCCAAAAACAATATTCTAGGCAGCCCAAATCGGCCATCAAAAGACCCCAAAAACAGTGCATGGATTGTCTCAAAACCGCCCACCAAAATGCCTCAAAACAGTGTCAAAATAGTGTCAAAACCAGCCGACAAAGGTACTCAATATGGTGATTTATAATGCTCAAAACAGTGCTAAGGTGGTGTAAAAATTGTTGCAACACCGGCCCACAATAAACCCCAAAATAACCTTTAAATTCATCTCGAAACAATATGCAAACTTCTCCAAATCAGTCAATAAAAAAAAACACTTATAAACAGTTCCAAAGCATTATTAAAACGATGTCAAAATAGTTCTAAAATCAGCCCCTTGAGAGCCACCAAACAAGCCAAGTAGTGCACTCTCGCAGCTATCAATAGGCCGAATCACTAAAAAAAAAACAACTACAACAATTCCAGAACATAAGCTATCCCAAAGCTCAACAGGTGCTAGATAAATAAGTTCATGAGAGTTACTGCTATGTAGGATTTGAATCCCACATTCATTTGTACATACATGTGAGATTTCCTGAATTTTCACACCTATACATTAATTTTTACATTTATGCCACGCAAATCTTTCATGTGTACATACCATCCAAAGTTTTCATATCACAATAAAAATACTACCAATTGAACTTCTAAAAAGTGAAATATATGCTTTCATGTATAGATAGGGTGGCATGAATACAAATATTAAAGTTCAGGTGAAAGAAATGTAAAAATGCAGCTATTGAATTATACGACTATAAATATAAAACTTTAGGTGTTGATGTGTAAAAATAGAAGTTAAGTGACCTGTATGTAAATCTTCCTAACTCTTGATGGCATTGTATAAATAAAATGAGTAGTATAGAAACAAAACAAGAATTCGTTACCCAGTTATTCAATCGCTAAGATTTTGCGCTCCAAAGCTTTTCAGAAGCTCCGAGTGTGTTCCTCCTACCTCCAATGCGGGCGAGGGAGGGTCAGCCGAGTGAGGCGAGCGCGAGCGACTTTGACGAGAGGTGAGCAGGAATTTCTATCGGGAGCTGTGATTGAGTTGCAGAGGAGCAGGACAGCGAGCAGGACAGC